GGGAAAGTGTAGACGTCTTTGTCGCACACCTTGTCCTTGTCGTTGGCCTTCGGGTACGGCAGTCCTCTGCGGCGGTAGAAATCACGCTCTCGTTTGGTCTCATCTAAACATTGGATCAAATGGTAAGACATATGATACACACGATGGTGTGACTGACTTTGTTGGAGGTTTGGAACCAGTTTATAGACAATGTCTTGCATCGTGCGGTCGAAACTGATGTATTGCAGTGGATGTGATTGATGGATGACTATCTCACACGTCGGACACGAGTTGTGTTCCTCCAAGTGCTTCACTAAACAACTCTTGCAGACTATGGACACACCGACAGATACAGACATAGAGTGAGCCATTCGTGACACCAATCAATGCAATGCTTACACGTGTGAAGACATTCGGTGACAGTCGTGGCATCGATCAGATATCCGCGACATATCTTACACGTGATGTGAGGGTTGAGAGACTTGAGACGGATCTTCCTCTCCATCCACACGAATGGACACAAATGGATACAAATGGACACAAATGGACACCAAATGACAAACAGTTATTCAATGAGAAACTAATCAATGATTTCGTGATTTATAAAAATAATTCAATTTTTATCTCATTTTTGTTAACAAAGAAAATAAATAAATAAATAAAAACTCAAAAATCAATACAACTTTTGAACACAAATTATGTGTGACTTTGCGCTCAAAAGTCAATGCTTTGAATGCAATGAATACAGACTTGCATTGAGCCGTAATTGGTGTCAGCATTTGGTTCACTATTTTCACAAACCATTTCATTTCCACGTGTTTTGCCATTCAATGTGTTTTGCATTCAATTTCATTACTATTTCATGATTTAGTTGTTGTACTCAATCAGCAAATCATGGTTTGCATCCTATTGTCACCCAATTGTCTCAGTCTAACCCATGTCTTGATGTCTATCATAGAGCCAACTCGTGGTCCTCTTCGAGCACGCGTCCGGTTATGCGTTATTCCGGGTGTCGGAGGCCGAAGAGGTGTCGATGTTTGTGGCGGCCGTCGAGAAGAGCCAATCGGATCCAATCAAATTC